TTAAGATACTCATCTCTAGCAGGGAAGAAAGATGTCTCCTCTTGGCTTCTGGGGATGTCCTGTGCCTCCAGTTCTTGTGGCAAACCTGATCCATCCTCAGGTTAGCTCCACTGGTGTTGGTTAGGGTTCTCCAGGGCTTCTGCTGTGTCCCTCCCTGAGGATTTGCATTCACCTAAAGTGAAGTTCCCATGGCTTGTTTGGAATTGCATTCCCTGATTAGAAAATTAATAACTGTTGGTTATAGCTTCTCCCTTTGTTGCTGCAGGAACGAGCAATGCCCTCAGACTCAAACAAAGATTTGCTTTACAGACCCAGTGTAAGTCTCTTGGACATAGTGCTCTGTCCCTGGCCTCTCTGGTTGTCACCAGCTCTGACAGTGTGCACAGCTGGGGCAGCTTGGTTACTCTAGCTGGGAGAGTTTCTTACCTTTGTAGGCAGTAAAAGAAAGCTGATACCAATGAGGAATGGTTTTGGGGTGGGAAAGTCAAGAAAACTCAAGCAGCTTGGATGCCTGGAGTGGAGCTGGGCAAAGGAGACCCTGTGTTTGGACAAGCTTTCCCCTCCAACATCTGGCTACGAAACACACCTCAACTTCTTTTCAAAGAACTTAACTGTGGTGGTTGTGGAGTGACTCAGTTTGGTGTTCTTGGCTGGCTAGTCCAAGGAGAAGACAACAGCGGTGAGAAGTGCCTATAAGAATGTTGGGCATCTCATGCAGTAGAGCTCTTTGACGGAGAACAGCAGACCTGGCTGCTTCTCTCTCCTCCCAGTTGATGTACTAAATGTGCTCAGCTGAATGCTGCCATCTAAATTTAATAGTAATTCATTTACTTAAAGGCAGGCAAAACACGAATACCTATCTGGGCTGCGAAAAGAGCCACTTGATGCTGGACTCAATTGCACACGAATGGCAGAGGAAATTTGCAGGAATAGTTTCAAGCCGCGTGTTGCCAGGGAACAGTCCAGTCTACAAATCACATTATCGATCTTGGGGTAATAACGGTGAGAAGCAACCGAGGGGAGCAATGCGGGGACACAGCTGCTATACTTGTTTGCCCTGCGTGTGAATCAAAAGCTGTCCTTGGTTTAGGAGTGGGCTGGAGGGACCTAGAGATTGCCCTGGCTGATGTCAGATAGCTCCCGTTGGAAACAGGGTACAGGTCCACAGGAGCCTGGAGACTTGTATTATACAGCTATTTTCACCTTCTTAAAAGCATAAATATGAATTTGCCTCCTACAGCCTGCTTGGGCCATCCCTCTGAAGTTTTCCAAATTTCAGGGAGCAAAGGCTGGAGCAGTCCATCGGTGTGAGATCCTGTGACCTTGCTCTGTGAAGGCATGAAAGGAAAGCTGAGACAGGGCAAAACTGCTGCTTTCACTTCCAGTTTCAGCTCTAAAACGCAAGACCTCACCAGGGAAGTTAAAATGCAGATCGCATCTGCAGAAGACCCCTCAGACCTTGGGGGATCCTCTGTCCTTACAAACCAACAAATGCCCCTGTAAGAAATTAGTATTTTAGGAGCCTGTAATCAATTTTGCTTGTTATTCTGGGTAATAGAATTAAATTGCTCATGATTCACTCTTTAAACTGACACGCTGTGATTCCAGGGGCTGATAATCCCAAGCTGTATTTCCAGGGCACGGGAAGGATGTCAGTAGGCTGCGACGTTGCCATCCATCGCCGCTGTGGGCACAGCTATTATTTGAAGATCACGTTTGGGTCTCATTCTGGCTTGATGTTAATAGCAGGATCGATCTGCATTGCTCTTTTCTTACTTGAGCCGTTAATGATACGCTGGGTTGACGCAGATGGTTTGAGAAGGTGGAATTCATCATCTCTAACTTTAAGCTCTAAGCCCAGTCCTGAACACTCCCACTTTATAGTCAATGGAGGAAAAATGAGTGTCTTTTGTGCGTGATTTATCTCAGCTTTTTAGCAGCTGTCAGTGCAGAAATTGCCCTTGAGATACCTTTTAGATGTCTTCATCTGACCCAGTGAAGATTGCCTAGGGTCTCTTCATCCTTAGCCAGCTTGGCTTGGAGAGGCTTCTTTCAAGAGCCCACTCTTCAAACCCCGAGGAGCATCTGATGCACGCAGGGAATGATGCTCCGGCCCTTCCCCACCAGGTTCCACTCAATGCCACTGAAACCGGAGGGAAGCTCAACTGACTAAAACAGGTCAAGGAGCTGGAGCCTGAATACTAACCCACTCCATCCTGTCCCTATTTTGTATTTTCCCTACTTTCAAAGACAAGAGAGGGCTCTGATGGGCTTTACCATGGACCACGCACCTGTGTGTGCCCACTTTGGCACCCAGCAGCTTCCCCTGGCTCTCACGGGGACCCCCCAGGTACCCTCCAGCAGATGCGCTGGGCTTTTACCTGCTCTAGACCTTATTTTAGATTTGCAAATAATTCAACTTAGAGCCTCAGGATGTTTTGCACTCCCTGTTTCATTGCTTTTTAAGAATCTCTCTTCAATCTTTGAACAGCGAAAATAACCCCCAAGCTCTGAGCGAGCACAGGAAAGAGAAACGGCAGATTCCCTCTAGGAAATTCAGAATATTTTTTAACACAACGTTGCATGGTACCGTCTGCCACTCTTTTATCGCCTGTGTTTTTCTTTTTTTGGGTATAATGAGAAATAGCAAAGAAAAATTTCTTGGGAAGGCTACATGAGAACATGGGGTGTAATTAATACGGAACAACCAATAAAATATTATCATAAGTTACTTAAAAATAAAAAAGGGCCAAGCATTAGTGCTTCTGCTTACCCAGCTGATGTGGGTTTGTGTTTCAGAAGGAGAGGACTTTGCCATGGCTGGAAATCAGGCTGTGTTGTAACACATCCTGACACATGCCTAAATTCCCTAAACCTAATAATTCTGTGTTTGCAAATGCTGTTAGCAGAACTGCCAGCATCGGCTCCCGTGTGTGCAACCTCTGCTCAAACATGCCCAGAAAAAGTGGTTTTCTGCACATCCACGCAGTGCTCATGCTAGCAAATAAGCTGGTAACTGCCCTTCTTTCCCCATAAATTGGAGAAAAATTACAACCAACTCCCACAGCTGCTGAGTTCAGACCATTATAAAGTCCGGGGTGACTCTGGGGGGAGCTTATCTTATTCTTTTCCAAGAAAATAAAGGTAGCAAAGACTAGGGAGTGCCAATGTACTTAGATGCCCTTTACTAATGCCTTTTTCCTATGGATGATTAGGTCTCAGTGGTTCATAGCTCCTAAGAAATGCTACCCAGCCTTTGAACCGTGTCAGCTTGGCCTGGATCCAAATGAAAGTGGTAGTTCTGCCGAGTCCCATGAACAGTTTTTGCATGTTTCTAGTAAGGGAACCCATCTAGTTTATATGGAGGATTTGGACAGCCTCAGAGGGTTGTGAAATGATGGGAGGTACCCAGCTCCACATCAGTGGGTGTCTGGGGAGGAGCAGGCATGGAGTTCAGGGCTTCAAATCCTCCAGTACGGCAGTTTCTGTTCCCAATCGGCGCCTGGGGCAATAAAACCGCAGTAAAGCCTGACTGGCTGCAGGCCAGCGCCGGCCCCTTGATTTCACCTGAGTCATCCTGGCTGTCTTCTGGTAAAACCTGTGATCGGAAACCGAATGATAAATGTGGAACGTGTTACTGCTGCCGTTTTGGTGGGGGTTTTTTTATTTCTTTTTTTTTTTTGCTTGTCTTGGTTAAATGTAGCTCTTGTGCCTGGAGACGGAGGAAAGCCAGTGAGTCATGCTCTGCACCCCATCCTGCCGACAGCTCCTTCCCCTCCTTATCTCCCCGACAATTTACCACTTCCTAGGAACAGGGGCAGGGGGAGAATTTGACCCTGCTGCCTTACAGACAGATCAGGTGTGAAAAGAGAGGGCTTTGCTGTGTCCCTTAGTATCTCGGCCATTTATTTTGATGGCAATCCATAAAATATTAGTTACCCTTGAGGTGACGGAGCATACACCCTACGCTCAGCTGAACCTTAAGACTCAGTTTCTAGCTCATAAAATCCCAGAATAGCTTCGGCTGGAGGGGACCTCCCTCCCAAACCACCTGCCCCGACATTTATTTGTTCGCCAACATTTGAACCCTATGTGGGGCTGGGGCAGAACAGGCTGCCAGCTGCTGTTGGCAGAGATGAGCAGTGCTCTGTCTGTCACATTTGCCCCCAAAGTGTTTGGAGGATGCTCAAACCACTGGCAGGGGTGACATCCCAGCTGGATCCCTGCGGAAACCCCAAAATATTTGGCGTCGGTCATCAGAGACGGCGCATTTCCAGAGCCACGGGTGGGAAAATGAAAACGTCGGGGCACATCAGCCCTTCAGCAGGAAGATGAATGCAGAGCTCATGGGTTGGAAGGGACCGAAACCCAGCCGTGACGAAGTGGCAGGGACTGTGTCACGAAGGAAGGTCAATCCATACCCGGGATCTTTCCGGTGGATGCATCCCGCCGACCCGAACGGTTACGACGGCGTTCCAGCAGCACCGGCGAGCTACCGAGCGGGGTGCGCCACCATCATCACCCCAGCGGGAGAAGGACCGGCTCTGGAAGGTGAAGACAAAATGGAGAACGACGTTGGGACCTGCTGCGCAGGACAAGGCCCCGCATCCCGGCGGGACCCTTCTCATCCATCCCCCGCCGCAGCAGCCCTCCCCACGTTCCCCGCAATAGAAGCGATGGAAGGGGGTTCCCCTAAAGCGGTTCGGGGCCCGGTTTCCCTCACCCCCCCCCGGTTCTCTCAGCCCACCGCCTCAGCCGGCGGGTCCGGGCTGTTCCCCGCTCACACACCCGCCGCGGCGGGCTGAGACCGGCCGGCTCATGACACAGCGGGTGACGTCGCGGGGGCGGCGGCCAACGGCAGCGGCGCGGGCGGTATAAAGCTGAGCGGCTGAGGCGGCGGGCGGGAGGCCTGAGGTGGCGACGGCGGCGGGAGGGAGGAAGGACTGAGGGCGACGGGCTCCGCCGCAGCGCGCTGCCCGGACGGCGAGGCGGGGGGCCGGCCGGGCCCTGCCGGCTGCCCATGGAGGCGGCGCGGAGCTGTAACGGGTACGCGCGGCAGGAAAGGCCGCCGCCCTCCGCCGTTTCCTCCCCGTCGACGGGCGCCGAGAAACCGCGCGTCCCTTCCGCTGGCGGCAGCGGGGATGGCTGGCGGGGCGAGCGGCCCCGCAGCGAGGAGGACAACGAGCTGAGCCTGCCCAGCCTGGCGGCCGCCTACACCACCATCCTGCGCTCGCTGGGCGAGGACCCCGAGAGGCAGGGGCTGCTGAAGACGCCCTGGAGGGCGGCCACCGCCATGCAGTTCTTTACCAAGGGCTACCAGGAGACCATCTCGGGTAGGGAGCGCTCCCCCCGGGTGGGTGGGCGGGTGTCAGCCCGGGGAGGGATCCGGGCCGGGGGCGGCGGAGCTGGAGCCTGCTGCTTTGACACCAGCCGTGGTGATGGCTTTCCTACTTTCTTTCTTAAAATGGGCTTCGGCGATGCCGTGCCGTCCGCCTGGTGCCCCGTGTCAGTAAGTCATCAGCCGTGTGCGCTAGGAACACCGGCACCTCGGGGTCTCTCTGTCCCCTCCTTCCCCCGGTTTCTTTTTTTTTTAAACTCCGTGCTGGTAAAGTGCACGATCTGTCGTGAACTTATGCGCTTCTGGTTTTGGTGAACAAGTGCTTTTGCTTTCCCTCTTCTGGTGTCAACTTCTAAAGTTCTGGCATAGGAACTTGTTGATTGTACCTTCCTCCATCCGCAGCTGAGCTGGGCTGTGCTCAGAAGGGGTAGGAACATTGGCTTCTGTTAGCAGACATAGGTGGCTTGAATTTTCTCAGATAAGGTCCCGTTCTGCTGATAAAAGCATCAGGTGAGGCTTTTCAAAGGTGGGAATGAAACTTGAGGAAGTGAGGTAAGAAGGGAGGAGGTCAGGGAGATCCCTGCCCCGTCTCGGGGTCCCAGCAGTGAATGCAGATGTAGAGAGGTACCCCAGGTTCACATCCCTGCCCCAGATGAGTGTCTTAGCTGCTTGCTGGCCGCGGGCCCTCCCTGAGGGCAGGAGGAGAGGAACTGGGTGGGATTTGTTCACCTCATCACCAGCAACTCTGAAATTGTCTCTTGGCTCCAGGGCAGGGTAAATCCTGCTTGAAAATTTAGGTTTTTACATCAGTTTTTCTCTTCTTAGCCTTTCTGCTAAAGACTGTACCCAGTATAAACAGTAAAAAAGGACTTCCCAAGCTGGGGGTTTCCCCCTTCTGCCTCTTACAGTAAAAGGCAAATTCCTGTTAGTGCATAAGGGATGCAAATACTGTCAGCAAGGATCTTTGAATGCCAATCAGGAAGGAGCTGAGTGTTCTGCTCTCTGGAGTACAGCACTGGTGTATTGAGCCTGCCCCAGAACTGCATCAGGGTGTTAACAGCTGAATGAAAAGGCTGAACCATGCTGGTCACTGGCATCAAGGAGCTTCTGCTAATGTGTCAGAGTCCTCTTCCATAAGCATGTGGTGCTTCAACTTAAAGGCTGACCTTTGTGTTTTGAGTGGTGAAAAAGAAACTACAGTTGGCTCTTCTGAAATCAGATTGTGTGTAACTTCCAGCATTAACTTACTCATGGCCGGCTTACACTCATGTGCCCATGTTGTGTCTTAGCTTCCCCCAGGAACAGCACTTCTGCCTTGTCATTTTTTTTGCCTTTCAGATCAAACCAGGTTATCAGGTTCACATCTGGAAATAGGCCCTGGGCTGCAGTGGCCATCCTCTTTCCTCTCTTACTTTAGTCCCGCTGCATTGTGTGTTTGAGATGAGGTTTCATCAGGGTCTCACAGAATGATCCTTTGTCTACTGGGAATAACTTTCTTGTTTGGGGATTGCATGTGTCTCGTTACTGCTGTAAAACACAGGAGGTCTCTCAGTCATCCTGGCAGTCTCTAGCAGAAGGATTTTTTTAGTGATAGTTTCCGAGCATGAATTTGTGTGCTGAACCTGGATGAGGTTGCTGCCCATCTTAAGTCCTCTCTTGTCTTGCTGCCAGTTTTGTGTGCAGAGCCGCACATTCCCTTAAGTTTTTTTAATAGCTTTCTTCTGCTCCAGTGTGGATTCTCTGGGACCTGAATAGTCTGTCCTAATCTCTCACATACATTTAATTAAGCAGAGTAGTTCTGGATAGTCTACTCCTCTAAATATCCATACCTGGGAGAGGGCAGTATTATATCCAAGAGTAGAAAGTGTCACTGCTAGGTGCTGTACTCTTTAACTGCTCTGCTCTTTTCTTTCTAGGAAATAAAATGAAGCTGTGATACTAACATTCCTTCCTGTGTCAGGTGGGAGATCTTTTTACTTTCCAGCTAGTCACCTCTTCTTACACAATGCCCAGCTTTCAGTCTTCCCACCCTTACTAGCCAAACAGAAGAAAGAACTGTAGCTGAAGGACAAGTCCACAGGTTGATATGGAAGTAACTTCCACTTGGGAGAGTTTTAAATACATTGTGAATCGTAGAGCCAACAACTACAAAGTCTTTGGGAACAAGGCTAGCTGTGGGACTGCAGCTCCTGCTGTTTGTCTCTGTTGCGGCATCCTGATGTACTGTTCACTTGGTTATGTTAATACAACTGTCTGCCTAGCCAGGCTGTGAACTAGACCAGGAAGTGACTTGTGAAAGAAAGGATGGGAGTTGGGGAGGGAACACAAGAACAAAAAAACCCCCACCCATAAAGCAAATAAAAAACCCCCCAAACAACCACAACCCAAACCCCAACAAAAAGCAGCCCTGACCTTTTGTTTTCTCAGGTTTATTCTGCAGCTTATTCAGCTCCTTATGTGGAACTGTCTGGATAGGCAGAGGTTAAAGCAGTGATTTGTGGGATATGTGTTGAGGAGTGTGTTCAAGTTTAATCCCCAACAGGCAGAAGAAAACAGACACTTATAATAGCTGTAAGTCCCATCTTTTTGTAAAAGGTTTCTCAAGTAAAAGCTCTGGGGTGGTGATTGTAGAAACACAGGGCTAGAAGCAAGGTGTGTTGCAACAGGCACCCGTCTTCAGCTGGCTCCAGCTGAGCTCACAACCCTTGCCAGTATGTGGAAATGCTGCCAGACTGTACAGTCAGAAAAGCGACAAAGATGAACCAAGGTACTGAATGTAAGTACAGCTACAGGCTTTAAAATCAGCCTTCTGCATTTGTCTGCTTGCGTACCTGCCTTAGGTAGGCAGGAGAAAAGTAATTCATTTCTGATGGCATTTTAATTTGCCATGTGGGAACACAAAATATGATATAATAGATATATTCCCAAACTATGAAATACAGTGAAGACTGGAGAGTGTGAAGTTGCAAGTACACTGCAGGAGGTCTTCAGTGTTTAATGTGGTTGGCTTGAGCCTCACTTGCTGTAATTGAGTACATGGGGGTTATGTGGTTTTTCACAAAACTAAGCTACCTGACTGCCTTGAATGCTGCCTGCTGCTCTCAGAGGCTGGTGATTTGAGTGGTGCCTTGCTCTTACTTGTCAGTGAACACTTTGAGTGCAGTCAGGTGGCTGGAAGCTTTTGGGTATGGTGAGGGATGATGGCCTTACCTGCCATGCAGCAATCTGTCCTCTGTGGTGGCATTGGAGGAGAAGATGACCAAGTGGTGTGAGTAGGGAATTTGGCTTAAGGAACCCATAAAGCTTTTGGAAGCTGCTGAGCTGATGCGTGGTTTCAACAGAGTTGGCAAATGGGTATTGTTTTTCTTTTTGAGCCTTGATTGATTGATAATTCACCCTTAAGAACAAACTATTTTCTTGATCTTTTTGTTACCATGTGTCTGAGAACATAATACATTTGGGGCATGGTTAAATGTGCTGGACATTTGATCTCCTTTCCTGGGTGTTGTCACTTTGCTTCCATGACACCCGATTGGATTTGTATTTTTGTACTTTCCATAGCTTAACTTTGTAGTGTTGTAGGGAAGGTTACATCTAAATTCTGTCCCTTCTCTCCATTCAGATTTATGTGAGTAGCAGAGAAGCTGATTCTGCTTTCTAGCTTCCACTGTGTGTGTATTTCCTAGCTTGTTTTCAACAGTGCAGACTAACAGTGTTCCTGCTTTACCCCTTATTCATCTTTGCTATCTGTGTTCTGCAGCTGGTCAGTATTGTATTTCAGAGCCATTAGCAACGTTTGCTTGCTAAGTGTCTAAATCTGGCTCTTTGTTTTTTCTAGATTATGTCTTTTCCCTTATTAATGCTGGCTTTATAAAGGCCTCAACCTCTTTCTTTGACAAAATGTATTCAGATGTATTGATCTCACTTCTATAGTACTAGTCATCAAACTTTCATTGGAGTAGCAAGGATGCCTCCAGTGATTTTAAAATAAAATCCAGCTGGAGACCAGATTTAAAAAATACTAGCAGCTCATACTTGGGCATCAGTGTAGACTAACAGCCATTACAACAGAAACCTCTTAATGTATTGGTAAGGATGGCAGAGCAGACAAGATACCAAAAGTTCTGCTTCTCAATTTCATGCCGTGCTTCTGCATGAGCATCCAAGAACATGTTTTCTTTTCCAGGGTCTGATCTATCAGCTTCATACTCCTGGGAGTAAATTACACTGCAAAATAGTAACCTGTCCTCTTGGTTAATAAAGGTGAGCAGGACTGTTGATAGGCAGTTGCCTTTTAGCTTTGTTATGTTTGGTTCAGGCAATTGCCTGCCACACAAAGACTGTTATCTTGAGAGATCTGTCCCTCCTTTTACTAAAGACTTAATGTCATACTCGGAGATGCTGTCTGTGAGTTTATATATAAATACTACAAAGCACAAGTGTGTGCAAATGTGGTAAATGAGTGAATAAATGGAAATACATGATTGCAGACAGTACTAACTTGTAACTGAAGCCGAAGACTTCAGAATCAATCTCGCTAAGCAGAGGTAAGTTACAGAAACAGTGTCAGTTACAGTGAGTGTCAAGGATGCTAGCTTCAAAAGGTAAATCATAAAGGAGTTGGTTCTGATTGTGTAATCCCGTAGGAAACATTAGGCACAGGGCTGAACAAGCAACCTGCATCTGCAGTAGGAAGTTAACTTGTTTTCATCATCCACAAGCACTCTAGGCAAAACAGCATGTTCATTAAACAGCGTACTTGCTGGTAATGGTGATAGTTGTTACATGAATAAAGGCTGGGAGACTTTTCTGGTAGGTATGTTAGCTTTCAAGCATGTTGGCAGGTTCAGCTGTCCTTTCAGCATGTTTAATAGGGAAATGAAAATTGAAAATACCGGGAGAGGGTAACTTTGCTTCCTGAACCTCTGTGGTTTTGAAAGGCTGCATGTATGCTTTATTTGCCTGGAAGCTAAGTGACTCTACTGTGCAGCTCTT